TGTGATTAATACATAAAATCTTAAGAGTTTCTTTTTGGCTTATAAATGTCGATGGTTTATCGAATCGTTATATTCATTTTCTGACTGTCTATTTATAATAGAAAGAGTTCATTGGACAAATACGATTTATGGTTTAATGGTTGTTGTTGTTGTTGTGGTGGTGGTGGTGGTGCTGGATTATTTCTGTTATCGGGTCAAATGTAAGTCATTAGTACAACAGACGTTAAGAGAACTTGTGACAATTAGACTGTATAAATAAATGCTCCTAATTAGCCTGCAATGTAATCAAAGCTTAAAGTCATGGTAACATCAAATAATCATTGTTGTATGACACATGGGCATGTCTAAAAATATTCTCTGTTATATTATGCGCTGCTCATGAAATACTATTCCTTTAATATTGTTTCCTTGTATCTTCTCTTTGTTTATAACTACAACGGATCAATCTCTTGTTACGGCACGTGCATCCTCTGTGGACTGTTTCGATATTGCCTTCAGTCACAAATACATACTATGATATTCAATATAGTACGCATCATATTCACTTATTAGTAGTAGGTATCAATAACATGTACTATATTTCAAACAGTTAATTAATATCACAATTGATTGATCACTAAGTGGTGATCAATCTCATGCTTGTCTAGTCCTTATTAGTGCAGATCGAATGCTATCGATCATGTTGCAATGTGGCCACCAGTCTAGGTGACTCGACACCCAGTGATCAATCAATTGTGATTACATCTCAGTCCTACAGGAGGTCAGTCACGGCTCGGATAGCTCAGTGGTAACGTCTCTGACTATGAAGCTGGGTGACACGAGATCGAATCCGTCAGGGAGCACCAGTTCCCTCAAGATTACAGGTACACCTTGCTGACGAGTGCCAAGTAGCACGAAACCCGTGTCCAGGGTTTCCTGTTGACTACCTCCAACCACCATCTAAGTAAATAATATATTTCAATATCTGTTCGTTTGTTTATAGACCACAGTATAATAAACAAATAGCTTTTAATTCCGAAGGAGTTTTCTCAATATTATAGTAATTTTAATAGTTCAGATCATGAGTCAATCTAATCTGGATCACTGTTGAAAACCTGGAAGTACTGGATAGCCATTTCATTCTATTGTGGAACTTCTCTATGGCAGTGTGTATCCACGATTCCACTCGCACGATTCATACCCAGTACCTATCGATCTCGTGTGCGCGAACCCTTAAACACTAGACCACTAAGTCGATATTTTTTTCCATTCTTCTTCTTCTTCTACTTCTACTTCTTCCTTTCCTTCTTCTACAATGTGTCGTTATGATCTTATATTGAATGAAAAAACTTATCTATTAATTATTATTTTCTTTTTCTTTTTAACCTTCTATCTTTTTTTTTTACTTTATCGAATGACCTTTTGACCTGTGTACACTTCCACAATATAAAACATAACGGAAGACAGTAATTAAATGAATGAAATGGTAAACCATTTTTCTACTAAAAACAAAAAGAAAAAAAACATTTTTCTCTTTGCGGTTTTCTTTTGTATAAAATAAAAAAATTAAAAAAAAAAACTATTCAATATTGAACATTAAATGATTAATCGATTGGATTCAGTTTTACTGTAGTTGTCTCGATATTATTATAACCTTTCAAAGCTGTTTTACCTGTGTGTGCATGTGTATGTGCATGTGTGTATGTGTGAATGTTTATGCATAGGTATGTATGTATGTATGTGCGTTTGTATGTATGTTTAAATTTGAAGGAGACAAATGTTGTGTTCAATTCCAATATCTAAATTATACTATAATCTGACTAAAGTCAGAATAGTAACTATGATAGAATAATTTCTGTTCACCTATTTATATCTCTATTTTGTAATGACTTAGATGATGTAATATTATCGTATCATGAGAAGGGGTTTTGTGGAGATTGTAGTCATTTCAACAGTTGAGATCATGAGTCAGTTGAAGCTAGACCACCATGAAAAACCTGGAAGCACTGGAAAGCCGTTTCGTCCTAGTGCTGGACTCATTAATAGTACTCTTGTACGGTCTCACCTGTTGAGATTCGAACCCAGAACCTATCAGTCTCGCCCCGAGCGCTTAACCAAGTAGACCACTCAGCCGGCATCCAACGGTGTTAATATGAACAATCATTTATAAAGCTTGTGACTTAAGGCAGTTCGTATAGGATGCACATATACCAACAAATGGCTGATCAATTATAGTTCTAAATAACATTGGAAAGATACAAATAAAACAACATCAAGTGAACCATTTACAAAGGTCAATTAGAATATGGTTGTCAAAACTATAAAAATAGTGTAGTAGTAGTAGTAGTAGTAGTAGTAGTAGTAGTAGTAGTAGTAGTAGTAGTAGTAGTAGTAGTAGTAGTAGTAGTAGTAGTAGTAGTAGTAGTAGTAGTAGTAGTAGTAGTAGTAGTAGTAGTAGTAGTAGTAGTAGTAGTAGTAGTAGTAGTAGTAGTAGTAGTAGTAGTAGTAGTAGTAGTAGTAGTAGTAGTAGTAGTAGTAGTAGTAGTAGTAGTAGTAGTAGTAGTAGTAGTAGTAATTTTAAAACTGATAACCTGAGTTACATAGCAATTATAATAGATGCAAATGGTTTACATTGGTTTTAAGAAATAAGTAGGTTGAAATCACAGATAAGTTAGTAATTTAATAGTTGAATTCATGAGTCAATCTAGACCACCATGAAAAACATGGAAGCCCTAGATGGCCGTTTCGTCTTAGTATAAGACTTCTCAGTATTGGGTATCCAGGAACCCGCCCATGGGATTAGAACAAGCGACCAATGGTCGAACTTTAATTGACTCATGAATTCAATGACTATAGTCCATAAAAACCCCTTCTAATAATAATCATCATGCGCTCATTGGTGACTGGATTGAAGAGGTATTTCCTGGAGTTCTAGTGAGAATTCATGACCAGTGGAGTTCAACTGGGTATGTTGTGAGATAGTAAATCACTGAACACAGTAGTGGATGTGTCGCTGAATTTCATGGATTAGTTAAAGTTAGACATTAACACCGTTGAATCCCAGAACAATTGTCTAATAGTTAAACGTTCGTGCGCTACACCGATACATTTGTGTTCGACTACTGCGAGTTGGATCGTAGAGGTGCACTGCTGACGAGTGACACAATAGGACAAAAAGGTCGTCTAGCGCTTCCAGGTTTTTATGGTGGTCTAGCTTTAATTGACTCATAAATAACATTTGGCTAAATTAAGTTTACATAAGAAAATATAAACAATAATGGCTGGAAATGATTTTAAACAAAATTATGAATTGATCATGGTAGCGATTAATTCATAATGGATTCTCTATGTAAACATAAATATCGATTTAGTTCTTTAAAGAACACAACTATTCCATTATAATCACTTGGTGTTTCCTAATGAAATAAAGAAAATGCCAATCATGAGAGGGGGGTTATGTTTCCATACTTCAGTATTTATAGTAAGACTTTTTATTTGTTAAGATGCATAATTAGTGAGTAACAACAAATTTTAAACGAAAGAAGAAAATCTTTGCATAACACATTATATTGATTTATTCCTTGTAATAGGGATTTATTCCCTTGGATTTACTAAAGATGTTTTTATTTTCAACTAAATATCATATATAAAGCACTTAATCACTTAAACAAATGGCTTCACTACAACTGAATTGAAATAATTCGAATAGCACTAATGGACTAGAAGAAAGATACGGTATTGATCAATACTCAATGACTATTCAATGTAAAAATATGAACCCTATAAGAAGGGCGGCCTGCTCGAGCATCTGGGCTACCTGTTCCTGCCATCTAGATATTTTAACAAGTTATCTATTGTTGTTTGTTTTAATATATCATTATGTTTATTAATCGCATGACCTATCCTGGTGCATTTCTGAAAAGTGTACAACCTTTTGTTGTCAAAGTTACAAAAAATTCAATAAGAGACAATGTGGTTGCTGGCAATATACAACGAATAGAATGTACATTATTCAGATGTTCATTTACTGAACTGCTAACATCTAACTGCCGATCATTCAATATTTATCACCAGGACCGACCAAGAAGAAAGAAACGGAAACTTTTTGAAATACTTTACTCTGAGAATTCTATATTCTACCAAAAATATAATATTGAATAAAGCTGATGATGATAATAATGATAATGATAAGATAATAAGTCAGTTGCTGTCTAATAACTCAACGCTAACATGTTACATTGTATAACTGGGTGACATGGTTTATAAGCCTACATGAATCACTATTTCTTCAAAGATTTGAGGTATATCTCACTGAATAGTCCTAATTAAAATGCGATACAAGTCAATCAGGCATTCCTATCGATTATCTCAAACCATCTGACATTGGATAATGTTTACGAACATCGATAATCGGCTGATATTTTACTGAGTTGGTATATGTGGTATTTCTTATTTCCATAAAAATTAATAAATATGGAACGTGAAGAAATAACAGATAATATCATATTAAATTATTTTATATTTTGTAATCAAATATCATGCTTTATAAGCAAAGATGGATAGTGGTTATTAGTGGCATCCAGGTTCACTAGAACCCAGTACCATTCGTTTCAAACGGCATCGCGTTATCTTCTTAGGTAATAAGTCCTGATAGTCATCTGCTTATGCGATGAGGGGAGTTCAAA